TTCTAAGCACTTCGTACTAATTGACTCAATCTTCCTAATATCCCTTAGAAGTAAGTACTCTTATTATCCCCGTTTCACAGATGAGAAAGTGGAGGCAGAGAGCAATTCAGTAATTTGTTCCAGGTCATACCGCTAGAAAATGGGAAACTCAAGGGATTCTGAATTCAGAGTCTATAATTTAATTGCTACAGTATGTGGTTCTCTCTCTGTTTTTCTTTTCTTTCTTTCTTTTTCTTTTCTTTTTTTTTTTTTTTTTTTTTTTTTTTTTTTTTTTTGAGACAGAGTCTCACTTTGTCATCCTGGCTGGAGTGCAGTAGTGCAGTCTGGGCTCACTGCAACCTCCACTTTCCAGGTTCCAGCGATCCTCACACCTCAGCCTCCCAAGTAGCTGGGACTACAAGCCCGGGGCACCATGCCCAGTTAATTTATTTTTATTTTATTTTTTTAGTACAGACAGGGTTTTGCTATGTTGGCCAGGCTGGTCTTGACCTCCTGACCACAAATGATCTGCCTGCCTTGACCTCCCAAAGCGCTCGGATTACAGGAGTGAGCCACCGTGCCTTGCCCAGTTTCTTTTTTCTTTTGTACAAAAAATGTCATGCTCCCTAAGTTACTGTTCATATGTGAGGTTCCTAAAGAAGCTGAGGGGCAATTTGCAGCTCCTCACCACCTGCTGCTTCATAACTGTGGATCTTTTTTCAGAATCTCTCCTCAGGTTTCTAAGACCTTAGCCCAAGTCTCCTCATTCCTGGTTCTCCTAATTTGTCATTTTAAGGTACATTTCCTCTGAATGTCCTCAGCCTGATACGTTGAGATTTCTAAATCTTGTTGTAATGATCCTGACTTAATATATGAAGTAAAATATAGGGACATTATAAGAGCCTTTATTTAATTAAGCACTACATTTTAAACAGGATACCACGGCAAACTTTGCATCACTAAACATTGGAGGGGGAAAAAAGAGCTCTGAGTATTCTATGATTAGTCTTTGAAAAAAATTGTACCATATCTGTAGTTAAAATTATTTGTATTTTCCTTATCTTTTGTGTAATGCTTGTCGAGAAAAAAACATTTTGAAGAGCCTGAATCTGCAGTCAAGCTGTTTGGGTTCCAACAAGAGCTTTACCACTTTCTAGCTGTGTGACCTTGAGAAAGTCAACCAACTTTGCATAGCTCAGATGCCTTATCTGCAAAATTGACAAGATAATATGAGAACTTATCCAGTGATCTCTTGTGAGCATAAAGAGATAAAATATGTAAAGTGCTTAGCATGGTGTAAGGCATGTGGACAGTGAAAATAAACTAGAAAATAAACCAAAACCAGAATATTTTAATTATATATCAACACTTAAAGTAACATTCTTTTGCTGCCTCTTCATGTTTCCAATTTTCAAATATACATAGGAAAGTCTTCTTTTTTTTTTTTTTTTTTTTTTTTTTTTTTGAGACGGAGTTTCGCTCTTGTTACCCAGGCTGGAGTGCAATGGCGCGATCTCGGCTCACCGCAACCTCCGCCTCCTGGGTTCAGGCAATTCTCCTGCCTCAGCCTCCTGAGTAGCTGGGATTACAGGCATGTGCCACCATGCCCAGCTAATTTTTTGTATTTTTAGTAGAGACGGGTTGGTCTCGAACTCTTGGCTGCAAATGATCCTCCTATCTCTGCTTCCCTAAGTGCTGGGATTACAGGCCACCATACGTGGCCCAATGTTATATTCTTTAATTCAATAAAAATGTGGTAATGTCCTTAAAAGTTAGTATCGCCGGGCGCGGTGGCTCAAGCCTGTAATCCCAGCACTTTGGGAGGCCGAGGCGGGTGGATCACAAGGTCAAGAGATCGAGACCATCCCGGTCAACATAGTGAAACCCGTCTCTACTAAAAATACAAAAAATTAGCTGGGCATGGTGGCACATGCCTGTAATCCCAGCTACTCAGGAGGCTGAGGCAGGAGAATTGCCTGAACCCAGGAGGCGGAGGATGCGGTGAGCCGAGATCGTGCCATTGCACTCCAGCCTGGGTAACAAGAGCGAAACTCTGTCTCAAAAAAAAAAAAAAAAAAAAAAAAAGAGTTAGTATCAGCTTTTGTGACAATTATGTCTTCACATGAAGTTTATGTGTTTAAAAGGATTGTGGGGCCAATAGCAAACATGTATTGTTTTTATTCCATCACATCTCTGGAACCTCACAGTTGCTTTCATTCAAGTTGTTGGCTTCTCTTTCTCTACTTGAAAAAGTTCCTAAGGCTTCTGCCTGAACTCCCTTCAGTCAAGCAACTATCTCATTTTAATAGAAACTCAGACTTTTTACAGCTAGAGGGAATCTCAGATATCAACTGGTCTGCTTGCATTTTTTTTTTCTTACAGATAAGCAACTAGCCCAGGAGGGAGAAGAAAGAGGCTGAGGGGGTGAAAGGGAAGGGAGTTAATATGTTTCTTGCCTAAGGACATGTGCCTTTGATAGAGCTAAGGTATAAACTTAGAGTAGACCATTTTTAGAGTGCCTTCTGAACACTCCCACCTCTTTGGTTGAGATTTCTAGATTCCTTGATAAGGCACAGCCTGATGAGCAGATGAATCTTAAAAAAAAAAAATTAGATGTGGCCAGGCGCGGTGGCTCAAGCCTGTAATCCCAGCACTTTGGGAGGCCGAGGCGGGTGGATCACGAGGTCGAGAGATCGAGACCATCCTGGTCAACATGGTGAAACCCTATCTCTACTAAAAATACAAAAAATTAGCTGGGCATGGTGGCGCGTGCCTGTAATCCCAGCTACTCAGGAGGCTGAGGCAGGAGAATTGCCTGAACCCAGGAGGCGGAGGTTGCGGTGAGCCGAGATTGCGCCATTGCACTCCAGCCTGGGTAACAAGTGAAACTCCGCCTCAAAAAAAAAAAAAAAAAAAAAAAAAAATTGGATGGGTTACCTGTCCCAGGCCAAAGAGGAATCCTGTAATAGGTTATTACAACCGTGTACCATGTGCTTTCAGCCTGGTCCAGAAGTGATGCCATGACAATGTCCCTACTCCTAATGACCATACCTGCAGATCAATTTTTCAAATTCTTGAGCCATCAAAGCACATTCCTGAAGATCTTTGGGTTTTGTAGTGCAGGCTGCTGCAGGACTAGGTTTTTAGGCTTAATAAATGTAATTATTAGGTCATAGTTATTGTTCACGCTCTCTAGGCAGGCACTGTAAAAACCCTGACAGGTTTTTTTTTTTTTTTTTTTTTTGAGATGGAGTTTCACTCTTGTTGCCCAGACTGGAGTGCAATGGCACAGTCTCAGCTCACCACAACCTCTAACCTCCGCCTCCTGGGTTCTAGCGATTCTCCTGCCTCAGCCTCCTGAGTAGTTGGGATTATAGGAATGTGCCACCACACCCAGCTAATTTTGTGTTTTTAGTAGAGACAGGGGTTTCTCCATGTTGGCCAGGCTGGTCTCGAATTCCCAACCTCAGATGATCTGCCCACCTCAGCCTCCCAAAGTGCTGGGATTACAAGCATGAGCCACTGTGCCTGGCCAAAATTTTTTAATTAAAATTTTAAATTATCATTCTAAAATAATGTTATCAAGAACCTGGGTGTATTTCCTGTGTGATCCGAAGCAAGCACATTGTCACATTGGCTTTGGAGTTTCTGTTAAGTATTTTTTTTTTTTTTTTTTTAAAGACGGGGTTTCACCATGTTGGTCAGGCTGCTCTTGAACGCCCAACCTCAGGTGATTCGCCCACCTTGGCCTCCAAAGTGCTTGGATTACAGGTGTGAGCCACCACTCCCAGCCTCTGTTAAGTCTTAGTAGCTACAAGGTAAGTAGAAAGTAGAAGGTGCTTATGAAAGAATGTTGAATTGATAGGAAAGTGATTCTCAAGGTTGACTGCATGAATTTAGAGCAACTAAAAAGTACTAATTGTGAAGCCCTATTCTAGTATGGAAAAAATAAGCTTGATGAAAACTTTGGTATAAATCAAAGGTTATATCATATCCTATTAACTTTATAGTCTTGAGTAATTAAAAAATGTTACTGCTATTGTGTATTCTGTGAATGTTTATTTTTTTCCATGAAAATTTATTAATGTCGCTGGGCGCGGTGGCTCAAGCCTATAATCCCAGCACTTTGGGAGGCCGAGGCAGGTGGATCACGAGGTCAAGAGATCGAGACCATCCTGGTCAACATGGTGAAACCCCATCTCTACTAAAAATACAAAAAATTAGCTGGGCATGGTGGCACGTGCCTGTAATCCCAGCTACTTGGGAGGCTGAGGCAGGAGAATTGCCTGAACCCAGGAGGCGGAGGTTGCGGTGAGCCGAGATCGCGCCGTTGCACTCCAGCCTGGGTAACAAGAGCGAAACTCCGTCTCAAAAAAAAAAAAAAAAAAAAAAAAAAAAAAAAACAAAGAAAAAAAAGAGAAAATTTATTAATGTCAACAGTGTGCTGATGAGTCCATAGTATCAATACTTACAGAAAGATTAAGGGAGATGAGAACTGAAAAGGAGTGTCTAGATCTCAATTAAAATGGACTGCAGTTTTGCATTTCAGATTCTGAGATAGTCATTGACTCATTCCTAATAACCCGGCTCAGAATCTCACTAGCATTAGAAAGACTGGAGATGTTTCAGCATCAGAGTTTTGGGATGCTTCATGGTAATGATCATATAGTAGTTGTTTTGAAATGTCAAAAGCATTTCTGTGGTTCTTCATGTGGTCCTAATGGAAATGTTTTCTAAGTAATTTCTTGACAGTTACAGTGTTTTGAGATACAGTGGGAAGGGCTTGTGATTTTGAAGCTAGAGGATCTGAGTTTGATTCCTAGTTCTGCCGTTTATTATCTGGGAAATCCAGTACTACACACTCTGGATGCTCTGGGGCAGTTTTCTTATCTATAAAATGGGCATATATGTACTTCACGGGGTGGTTATGCAGAGTCAATGAATGTGAAATGTTTAATAAACTGCGAAGTCTCATACAGATTTCCATTCATCATCATCATTTTTTTATTTTTAACTTTTTAAAAAATATGGAATGCTTCACGAATTTGCCTGTCATCCTTGTGCAGAGGCCATGCTAATCTTCTTTGTATTGTTCCAATTTTTAGTATATGTGCTGCTGAAGGGAGCACTCCATTCATCATTATTATCCTCTGAGAATTTTACTTTCTCCAAACTTGAGGGGAGGGAGGTACTGCAATATTTTAGTATCTTCTTTACAAATGGGTCTGTGAATGATGCACCTGTGTGTGTTGTTACATCTTTATAGTGGCTACCACAGCTTCACATATTATTTAGTACTGTTATGTTTGTGAATGTCACAAACCCAAGTTAAACTGCCTGAAGCCAAAAAGGAAATTTATTGAAAGACATAGTTGAGGCTTGGTGTGGTGTCTCATGCCTATAAATCCCAGCACTTTGGGAAGCTGAGGTAAGAGAATTGCTTGAGCCCAGGAGTTCGAGAACCAGCCTGGGCAGCATAGTGAGACTCTGTCTCTACAAAAAATGCAAAAACTTAGCTAGGCATGGTGATGTGGCATTGTGGTCCCAGCTACTTGGGAGGCTGAGGTGAGACAATCACTTGAGCCCAGGAGGTCAAGGCTGCAGTGAGCTGTGATCGTGCCACTGCACTCCAGCCTCAGCGATAGAGCAAGACCCTGTCTCAAAGAAAATAAATATATAGTTGAAAAGATACAGATAATTAGGTTGATCCATTTGAGACTCACTTTTTTTTCTAGGCAGAAATAGTCAAATATTGGCAATTTTATTTGGTTCAACCTAACATAAAATGGAGGCTCAAACTATGTCACGCCAATCTTGTTTTTCTTTCCATCTCCTGGCTCTGAGATGATTCCATTCTTAAACATGTTCTCCTTTGATGTACAGTGGCTGTCAGTGGCTCTGGAGCCACCTCCTCATGTCCACTGGGAAAGAATAAGGGTTTTAATCTTAACTATTCCCAGCAAAAGTTTCAGTTGCATCTCAGGGGCTCTGCTTAGGTCGTAAGCTCATTGGAGAAGCAGTCAGTGAAACCAGGCTCATGATGTGTTCCCATGGCTTAGGCTTGGGCTATATACTCAGTCCTTGAGATCATGTACTAAGGGGTGAAGTCCAGAGAGAAACTGGGGTAAGGCTATTGGGAGAATGACGAACAGATGCTGGGATGCAACAATAACAGGTGTCCAGTACACCTTATCGGATAAAATTGACTGGCGATGTTATTTCCATTTTATATGTGAAGACGCACTTGAAAAAGCTACAGAAATTTCTTAAGAGCTGGTAGCCCTGGAGTAACTTACAGAATTGAAAGGAGAAAATTATTGGAAACATTATGATATAAGACGTGATGATCTGTGCTCATGTGAACATGTTGCAATTTTAAGTTTAGAAGGAGAACAGGAGAAAGAAGGACTTTTAGAAGGTTTATTTGGATCCTAAAGTTTTCTTATTTGGAGCAGAGCTTTGTGATAGGAAGGTTCTGGAAATTGAGCTGAGACCAGGCTACAGGATCCCTTGAGTCCAGTGTAGTATTTCATTTTTCTGGGAATCTTAGGCTCTTGCTCCTTTTCCAATTTACTTCACTCCAATGTTTATGTTCCTAAGACTTTATCCCTTTTCCAAGCACTAGTCCTCAGCTATAAGGATGGGGTAGAGAGAAAGAAGCTTCAAGAGTCTGGAGACAGGTTAAGATGCTTCTGTGGAGACACAATACATCTTGGTACATATCTGAGCGTCCTTAGCACTTCACCTAGGAACTTCTCCCGTAAATGGTAGAACAGGTATCCATAACGCCTTATTGGATTAATTCAGAAATGCCAGATATATGTACTCTTTGCTGATGCTAACTTAGTTGGTCTCTAATCGAAGTCTTATCTCTAATCACATTGGCTGAGAAAATGGAGACATTATCATAATGAAAGTAGGATGGTTAACTTTTACATTAGGGTACTTTCGATTTAGGATAGCACTGAAATTCATTGCAAAGAAATGTAAGTCTTTCCTAGATAATGACAGACTAGACAATCTGAAGTTTTACTTTTGGTCATTAGCCCTCAGATCATGCCTGACCCCCAGGTTATTGGAAACAGTGAGAAATGAATGAAAGGAGGAAATGTAATTACCATTCTGTGCATTGAATAGTTGAGCCACTGTTACCATGGATACAATGGCGTGTTTATTGTCCAGATCTTGAGATCCAAGTTTGCAAGCAATACCCAAGGTCTCCTTTAAATTTATGTGTTATCAGCCAATAACACATGAAGATTCCTAGTATTTCCTCACTGATCTGCTGATTCACATTAGGTTAACAGCGTTAAGTACCTTTGAAGGTGTTGAGGAAACCTGAAAAAGAGGAAAAGGAAAGTAGCTACACTTGTTTTTTTTTTTTTTTTTTTTTTTTTTTTTTGAGTTTCACCCTTGTTACCCAGGCTGGAGTGCAATGGCACGATCTCGTCTCACCGCAACCTCCGCCTCCTGGGCTCAGGCAATTCTCCTGCCTCAGCCTCCTGAGTAGCTGGGATTACAGGCACGCGCCACCACGCCCAGCTAGTTTTTTTGTATTTTTAGTAGAGACGGGGTTTCACCATGTTGACCAGGATGGTCTCGATCTCTCGAACTCGTGATCCACCCGCCTCGGCCTCCCAAAGTGCTGGGATTACAGGCTTGAGCCACCGTGCCTGGCCATAGCTACACTTCTGTATTGCTGGACAGTCTCAGACTCCTATATAAAAATATTCTGTCTTACAGTGTCAGTGATTTGCATGTCACTTTGGCCTCAGTTCTTTGGTTTTTATCTCATTAACAAAGAGAACATTTCCTGAGTAAAGGTTAAAAAAAAAATCAAAATCGTTTATTTTTTGAGATAAGGTCTCACTTGATCACCCAGGGTGGAGTGCAGTGATGTGAACACTGCAGCGTCCACTCCCTAGGCTGAAGCGATCCTCTCGGCTTGGCCCCCGCCAAGTAGCTGGGACTACAGACACATATCACCACACACAGTTAATTTCTGTATTTTTTGTAGAGATGGGTTTTCTTCATAGTGCTTAGGCTGGTCTCAAACTCCTGAGCTCAATTGATCCTCCCGCCTCAGTGTCCCAAAGTGCTGGGATTATAGGCGTTAGCCACCATGCCCCGCCAGAATAATTTATTTTATCAGGAAATTCTTAAAGTTGAATTTAGGAGTGGAAGCATTTTGTCTGAAATATGGCAATCCTATCCGCATTGTAGTCTCACTAGAAGGGAGGTGATACATGCTAGCATGTACTTCCACACTGGTTTAATTTTGATGTAGGGGAGGGTGTGGAGGATACTTTTTATTGCAAGAAACAGAAAACCCAACTCAAAGTGGCCAATACAATAAAGGGTATTTATTGGCTCATGTGAGTAAAGAATACTGAGGCGGAGTGGGGTTCAGGCGAGGTACAGTCAGGGCTCCAGTTCTCTTTTTTGTGTGTGTTTTTCTTGACCTTACTCCCCCCTAAGTTTCACCTTGGTGTTCAGTCTGGCTTCCCATATGACTGTGATATGGCTGCCAGGGCAAATGCGGCTATGTGTTTCCTTGATCCTATCTAGGGGGAATTCAACTTTGAGAAGGTTTCAGTTATGTTCTCAAAAGTATTATTTCATCACAATAACTTACAGAATGTTACAATTTCTAAGGACCCTAGATAAAGTCAGCTAGCTCCCCAAATTCAGCATGTCATCAAAATCACCTGAGGAACTTTAAAAAGTATATAGATACTTTTTTTTTTTTTTTTTTTTGAGACGGAGTTTCGCTCTTGTTACCCAGGCTGGAGTGCAATGGTGCGATCTCGGCTCACCGCAACCCCCGCCTCCTGGGTTCAGGCAATTCTCCTGCCTCAGCCTCCTGAGTAGCTGGGATTACAGGCACACGCCACTACACCCAGCTATTTTTGTATTTTTAGTAGAAACGGGGTTTCACCATGTTGACCAGGATGGTCTCGATCTCTTGACCTTGTGATCCACCCGCCTCGGCCTCCCAAAGTGCGGGGATTACAAGCTTGAGCCACCGCGCCCGGCCAAGTATATAGATTCTTAAATCAAAATCCATCCTTGCTAAAGCAGGGATATAAAAATCTGTATTTAAAAAAATTTATTTTATTTGATTTTACTTTCAGCTCTGGGATACATGTGCAGAATGTACAGATTTGTTACATAGCTATACATGTGCCATGGTGGTTTGCTGCACCTACCAACTTGTCATCTAGGTTTTATTTGAAATTTTTTTTTCAATTTTTATTTATTTATTTATTATTATTATTTTTAGTGACGGGGTCTCACTATGTTGCCCAGGCTGGGGTGCAGTGGCTGTTCACAGGCGCGATCCCACTACTGATCAGCACGGGAGTTTTGACCTACTCCATCTCCTACCTGGGCCAGTTCACCTCTCCTTAGGCAAACTGGTGGTCCCCCTGCTCCCAGGAGGTCACCATACTGATGCCCAACTTAGTGCGGACACCTGATTGGCATAGCGCACTACAGCCCAGAACTCCTGGGCTCAAGCAATCCTCCCACCTCAGCATCTCGAGTAGCTGGGACTACAGGCACACGCCACCGTGCCCGACGTCATCTAGGTTTTAAGCCTCACATGCATTAGGTATTTCTCCTAATGCTCTCTCTCCCCTTGGCCCCCACCACCTGACAGGCTCCAGTGTGTGATGTTCCCCTCCCTGTGTCCATCTGTTCTCATTGTTCAACTTCCACTTATGAGTGAAAACATGCAGTGTTTGGTTTTCTGTACTTGTGTTAGTTTGCTGAGAACGATGGCTTCCAGCTTCATCCATGTCCTTGCAAAGGACATGAACTCATTCTTTTTAATTGTTGCATAGTATTCCGTGGTGTATATGTGCCATAACCAACCCAAATGCCCATCAGTGATAGACTAGATAAAGAAAATTTGGAAAATCTGTATTTTTAAGAGTTTTCAGGTGATTCTGAGGTCTGGACAAATTTTGGGAATGTCTGATCTATGTAACCCCTCTCATTTTTTGGTTTTGTAAACAGACTTAGAGATGAACTGACTTGCCACTGCAAATTTTTTCAGTGGCAGTTAAGTATACTCTGTTAAATCTCTTTCTTTCGGATGGGAATGTTACAAGATAGCTACATTAAC